AACTCACATGATAGTGCCAATATCCGGATATTTATCGAGCTGATATCTGGATATTCTGAGTTCAAATATTTGGATATTCAAATATCCATATCCAGATATTTCTAGATAGCAACCAAATTTTCGACTTGAATGAATTCTAAGTGATTTTTTACTCACTTCTCACACATATCTGTATGCTTCTAGCATTGATATAATAGTATTTCATGTGTGTGAGTCATGTATGAGCGTATCGTGTATGTAGGGTTCCCTTTATGCATGAGTTTATAGCTTCTATAATGCACATTTGAGAATAATCTTTATAAACTCAAACTTATAAACTCTTTAGACTTTATAATAATATAATAAACTATATAGCATAATTGAGTCTTCATGTTTTTTCATTTGTCTTCATGTTTTGAATCTTCTATCTTTGTTTGACTTGAATCTTTGACTTTAGAGTTGACTTTGCACTTTGAAGTTAGTACTCCATTTTTGCATGTTGATTTAGCTTTCTTGCTTTACTTGGGACTTATTGCACTGTCTTTCCATGTTGTGCAAGCATGTTGAGCTAGTTGGTGCTTTGTTGATCATCAAAACTTCACATCTTGGTCTTGTTTGACCTATGGTTCAACAGATAAAACTTTTGAAAGGAAAAAAAATATTAAAGAATAAATGAGTGTACAAGACTAAGAAAGATGCTAATGGCAAGCTAGTGAAACACAAGACTCGATTGATGGTAAAAAATTTCAGACAAAAGAAATGAATTGACTTTGATGAGATTTTCTCTCTAGTTGTGAAGATGACATTTATCGGAGCAATTTTGGGTTTTCCAACTAACTTGGATCTTGAGGATGAGCAATTAGATTTGAAGATTGCATTTCTTCATGGTAATTTAGATGAATAAATCTATATGATGCAATTTGAAGGTTTAGAAAATCAAAGAAAATGAACAAATGGTCTATAGGTTGAAGAAAAGTCTTTATGGCCTGAAGCAAGCATCACTGCAATGGTACAAAATGTTTGATCCACTTATGTGGATTTTAGATATAAAAGAAATCATGCAGATTCTTATGTATATTTTTGCAGGTTTTTTTATGGTAAATTTATTATTCTTATGCTTTATGTTGATGATATGTTGATTGTTGGGTAAGATGCAAGTATGTTTGGGAAATTGAAAGAGTAATTATTCAAGTCCTTGATATGAAGGACTTAAGGCCAACTAGGAAAACTTTGGACATGGAAATTGTTCATGATAGGAAGGCTAGGAAGCTATGGTTGTCACAAGAAAAATATGTTAAGGGGTGCTTCAAAGGTTTAATATGCATGGTGTTAAATCTATTAGCACCCCTCTTATACTTTAAATTAAGTAAGAAGTTATGTCCATCTACCAAAGAAGAAAAACAAGCCATGCCAGCTATTCTATACTCGTATGCAGTTGAAAGTCTTATGCATACTATGGTTTGCATATGACTTGATATAACACAAGCAGTTAGTATGGTGAACATGTTTCTTAATAATATAGGAAAAGACCACTGGGAAGCTGTGAAGTGGATCTTCATATACTTGAGATGAATATCCAAGATGTGCTTATATTTTGGAGGTTCAAATCCAATCTCGGAAAGATATACTTATTCTGCTATGACAGGTGACCTTGATTGTAGAAAGTCTAGCTCAGGGTTCTTGTTTACTTTTGTAGGGAAAATTGTGTTTTGGCCATCCAAACTACAAAAAAATGTTGCATTATCTACTAAGGAGGCTGAGTGCCGCTATAGAAGTTGGAAAATAGATATTATTCAAGACATAGGTTTCAAGCAGGATGAATATGTGATCTACTGTAATAGTCAGATTGTTATTGACTTGAGCAAGAATTCAATTTATCATTCTTGCACAAAGCATATCAATATGAGATACTATTAGGTACGTGAAGCAGTTAAAGATGAGTTATTGAAAATTAAGAAGTTCCACATCGACAAAAATGTCTCAAACATGTTGACTAAAGCTGTTACTTGAGAGAGGTTTGAATTATGCAAGGAGCTTGCACACATGGATTCCAAGTGATGAGTTTGATTGTGGTTTTCTCCCATATGGTCATGGAGGTGGAGATTGGTTGGGTCAATAACCATGTAATGGGCCTATGGCCCATTTGAGTTTGATTGCCTAAATTTCTTTAAGAAGAATGAAAATAAAAAGTGTTCATTATGTGCAGTGAGGTGGCAAATTTAAAAAAGAAAAAAGGGTACGCCATTAGTGAGAGAGAAAAGAGAGGAAATGAGAGAGAGAGAGAAAAAGAAACAAGACATTTTCGACAATCCAATAGTGATATGTTGTCAAAGTCAGCTCAAATTTCAAAGAAGTGTTTGTGACATCTAGTACTTTATATCCAGAGGTAGATTTTTGATTTGGAGTTCTCTAGAAGAGCAGATTTATTTTTTCCCTTTGAAGGATTAATGGTGAATTCCTCATTGCTTTTACTCTAGATTTTCATATTTTTCAAATGATATTATTTGATCCCTCTGTATTTTATAGAGAGAGAACATTGTGAATTGTACCTATTATTATTATTTGATGATAATGGAGATTTATGTGGACTCTAATAAAGGTTCTTGGTTTTTCTCTCACATTGAAATTTTCACATTAAGAGTTTGGTGCGCAATTATTATTGTTGTTCTTGATATTATTTTCTGACTTGTTTATTTCAATTTACACTTGATTTATTTGTTGGTCCCCTAATATATTTCTAGTTGAAAACGTATGTGCAATCTTCCTATAGAAGTTAGTGTTATTAAAATCGGATTGGTCATCGACTCGATTAGAATATTAGGTTAATAGATGAATGATTTAACCAGTGTAGGTTACTAGTTGAAGTAATTACACTAAATTTTTATAATATTATCTAATAAATATAATAATAACTAGAAACTAATCATTAGATAACATTGGCCTGATGGTAAATGTTGTTGTTATCTCTCACAAGCTCCTAGGTTCAACTCGATCCCTTGAGATGAAGATTACAAATTTACAATTCAATGTAATTCAATTTTTTCTTACTTATAACAATAATTAATGTACTACCAAGAAATATATATTTAATTTAATTAATTAAAAAATAAAATAATTGAAATAAACTAAACTTAAAATTCTCACCCAAAAAAATTAACGTGAGTATATAAGAGATTACAACATACATTAATAATCAGATACAATTATTTTCTTTTAGAATACGGGATAGCAAAATTTTGTGTGTTGGTTCTACAAAATCGACCAACTTCTCGTTCATGTCTAAAAGTTCTCAGCGAATAACTTTTAAAAAATAATAATTAAAATCAAGGACCGCCTTAAAATTATTATAAAAATTAAAAGAAAAAATAGATAACATAATTGACAAGTATTTAATCCACTTCACTGCAAATTCAAGATGTCATATTATACTATATTTATCAAGATTCCATATTATAATAGCTAACAAATAAATTTAATGTCACTTTTTTAATAAATGTTTTCACTAGTTGATCAATTAATGTTACGAAGATGAAAAACTCTTATTATCAAGTTTTTTTTTTTTTTTTTTTTGTAAATAATTATTATCAAGTTTTTAACACAATTGTATAGTGAGAATTTGAATTCAAAACCATTGATTAAAGTCGAACAATCTCCTACCAATTGATCCACATATTTGATAATACTTAATATGACTTTCTCATAGATTTTATTTTATGTCAAAATTTTGAAGCATTCACATTTTAGTTTTGATCAATTTGACCGTTACTTTTCACAACATGCAACATATCATAGCAATTAACATAAATTTTAATTTTGATCCTATTATAAAAATTTATAATCTCATTTAATTATACGTTAATATAACATCAACAAAATTCAACCTTTCAAGTTGCGTATTAAAAAATTTAAGATGATCAATGTCATCATTATATTTTTTTCAATGTTTCGTCAATAATTAATTAAATGATAGTTTAATGTGGATCAAAATTGAATTTGACATATTATAATCAAAACTTGTGTCTGTAAAGTTTATGGAATAATTTGAGTTTAAAAATAAATAGATATTTTAAAAGATAAAAGTTATTACATAAGTTATTGAAATATATATTTTGGTCAAATTATAATGGGATATGTTTTTCTCATGATACATGAGATAACATACCCTTCCTACTCATACATCAAAAGTTGTGCTAGCATTTATTTATTATTATTTTTTTAAAAGAGTGGATGTCACATGCTTTGTGTCTATAGCATGAGATAACAACTCTCCTACAACATGAGACTTGTATTTCCCAATTATAATATAAGGCAAAATGATTTGTAATGTCATTGCATACAAGCATTGGTGTAGTCACCTAAAAACTACGTCGTTTTGGTTGAGATAAAGGAAGTTCGCGTTCAAAATTAATTATAGAAAATAAAAATATTATATGATTCCTCATAATTAATGCTTTATATTTATTTTCGTCTTTATATCGTTATGATTTCTTATATTTAATGTTTTTACACTATAAAACGATGTAGTTTTATATGACTGCACCAATTCTTAGGTGCAGTCAGTCAGTGTACAACCGCTAAACCTATAATATAAATTTGGGAGCAGTTTTATTTATCACCACTTTAGTTTTATCGTATTATTACTTATTTGATTACCGTTGAAGCAATTTAAAATCATCTATCCATTTATTTTAAATTAATAAGACAGTAGTCAAACAAACACGAAGAATGATAAAACTAAAATAATGATAAATATAACCTTCTTTTATAAATTAGCGAATAATGTTATACTTACTATTAATTTAGTCTTACTATTTTTATTATCTGAATGATTATTCTTGGATCTATTTGAGATGAACATTAATTTTAAATTAATCCAACATTAAGGATAAAATGGTAGTAAAATAAATGTAACTAGTAGGAAATTCATTATTTGATCAGTGAAAGTAGCTTCTACATATATCTTAGAAGAGTATCTCCATCACATAAATTACGCATATTCCTTCCATTTTCTGCAATTCACATCCAACCACATGGACCCAAATTCACCTTTCATCTCTATTCCACACTTTCCCATTCAAACCAATCATCATCATCATCATCATCATCATTCTTTGCTATCTCTTCAACTTCACTGCTAGTAACTGGAGCTGTGTGAGCTCCAACAATGTCCCTAGTGGCTGTTTTCCCACGTGTGTCTTTGTTAAGCCTTTGCAAAACCAATATCAAATGTTGTAGTCCACAACCCACTAACCACTTTAGCTGCTTCTCTGTCTGTCCCAGGTTGTCTTCAAACCACAATATAAATTCTCATGTTCCTCTCCTCTTGAGGTAACTTTCCATTTATTCTTAGATATGATTTCTTGTCTTGCTTTTGTTATTATTATTATTATTATTGTTTAATTACTCAACTAATTCGGTTTGAGTTAATAAGTAGTTTTTGTTAATAGTCAATGAGATTGAACTCGAGACTTTTGGTTGAAGGGAGTAAGTGTTTTAGTCTAGATGTAGAGCAAAAGGGTTCTTACATTTTCATGGACGAATGTAGGTAAAGAAGTTAGTAGGTTAGAGCATGATTAGTTTTGGCATTTGGAATATACCTTGTTCTAAATGGATTTATTAAAAATTTGATTTTTTTATAGTCTTCAAATGACATTGTTTGATCCATGTAGCCTAGTATACCTAGTGAGATAAAGCTTGGTCGTTTTTTTTTTTTTTAATTTTTTTGACCTATTTTAAAGTTATAAAGTGACTTCTAGAATACCTGGATCGGTTTCCCCTCTGTTTTAACCTCAATACACAATCACACTAGGGTAATATTATTATTGTTTTAAATACTGGGTTAAATTACACCCTTCTCCTTCAACTGTTGTAATTGCTATTAGCTAATGTTGTCATCTATGGTTAGGCATATTTGAGAGATATTAATTGCAATATTTCCTTAGGCTGTCTGAGCCAAATGAGTAGGATGTTTTGTAGATGCTTGTTGATTTTTTGTTGAGTGTTATGTTTTATTTATTAAAATTGTAAACTTGAAGTTTTAAGAGTTAGTTTACTTAAATCTAGCCCATATTGCATATGTAAAAGAACTTAGTTTTTTTATATTGTATGGAGCCTCCAAAATGATGTTTTGGATTTTGGCCCTCTTCAGGAGTCTCTTTGTTATTCTTCTTCCTTTTCTGTGTTAGTTTATTGCATTATTTCATCATAATGAAGTGTCTTTTTGCACTACAGAAACAGAATTAGATGCTTTAAACAGGAGGGTGAGGAAAATGATGAGGCTTTAAAATCTAAGGATATACAAGATAAACAAGATATATTCAATAATGAGGTGCAAATAAATGGTAAAGATGGAAATAACAAGGTGGAGATCTCGTTCCCAGCTATGATAGCAATTGCATTGGGCGTAGCTGTAATAGCAACATTAGCATCCATTGGCCAGCAGCCTATCCTTGGATCGCGATTTGGTATGCAGATTCTATCCGAAGGTTCTTCCCCTTCAGCAGTTGCTCCAGCCACTGCTGGTTTCACTGTCAAAGCTTTTGGATTCAGAGCTACACTTCCAGAATATGCACCAGGGTACCCCTTGCTTCCTTTACTTTGGATTTACAAATGAGCTGATGAAACTTTTCTCCAGCTTTCTTTGTCATTTATTGCAACAGATTGGCTGTTAATACTTTAGTTGTTGTCAAATTTCAACCTTTTTTATTAGAGTTGATCAGAAATTTCAAATTGCAGGAACTGGTGATTGCTTAATAGTTTATGGAAAATCTCTTCGCTGTAGGCTGCATTTTTGTTGTATTCTTAGATGAATTTGAGATTTCTGAGTTTTGTTTGCCATGTCTATCACTTGGACTCATCTATGCATCTAGCAGTCAGGATCTAAACAAGTGACTGTGTAAGTAATATAACATGTATTTCTTATATAAAGTGGACCTGTGAGTCTCATTGATAATAAAGATAAGTTTACTTTTTGACTAGAATAAGAAATTGCTTACAGCCATTTATTCAGGGATCCTCTCATGTCTTATTTTAACATGAATGTGTCCCAGTGTCTTATATTTTGGACTTTGTCTGGGTCTGTGTTGTGTCCACGTCCAAGCTTCATAAGTAAAAAATGCTGGTTCAGAAGTATATGTTGCTGGAGTTTCTAGATGGCTACAAAATTGATTAATGAGAATGGACAGTGTTATGATTTTAGGGCCAAAGTTTTCAAAGGATTAGGTTTTGAAATGGGTAACAACTAACAAGTGTTGTTTTCTTTTTCTTTTTTTTGGCCACAGATTTATTTGTTTGGGATCCTAGGACAAGTAGAGATAATTTAGAGGCATGATATGGTGTCATGAAGAGTGGTTGGCTGAACCAATGTACTTGATAGTTGATACACATGTGGATAAGGAGGAAACTGGAAAGAAGAATGACATGTTGGAAAGTTTGTACAAGAAGGCAGAAAAGTTTAGTTAGTTAGATGGAAAAATATAAATAGGAGTTGTATAGAAAACAGAGAGGAGAAAAAGGATTATATAGAGAAACTACTGAGAAAGACTCAGAGTTTGAGGGAGAGTGCTCCCTGTACCAGAAAAGATGTTATTGGGTCTGCTTGTAATCACAGTATCTTACAGCATCAATAAAATCATCAGTTGATTGTTCTTCTACCCTATTTGGTGTCTACTTGCTTTTGAATTCCCTTTATTGGTGATTTGTGATTCTGGAGCTGTAACAGACCTGGATATATGTTCAGGTCACTAGATTCTTTCCCTTTTTTTTTTTTTTTGATTTTAAATGAATATTATTCTGACTGAAGATTTTTCTGAAAATGTGGAGTTAGTATCTTCATACAGAAACAATATTATAGAACAAGAAAGCATGATTTTAAATTTCTGGATTTATCATATGAACCGGATTGTGTGTATATTGTGGATGCTCAAGAAACGGGTTAATGTATGGTTGCACATTGCGACATTGATAAATTTCTCTGAATTGAAAATTTAAAAGTATAACTTCTGTTGTTGAGCGTGTAAGGACTTGTTTGTGTTTTCCCCCAAATTTTTATGCTTAAGTGATGGCACTTTAGTTCTCCATATTTCAGAAAAGAATTTTCTTAAAAAGGTACCCTTTCATTCCCCTCAAACTTTATTTGGTTTTCATTTTTAATATGCCTCTTCATCTGAACTCCCTGCAGATGGGTCTACTTCTGGTTGCTTATGGCTGCAGGTTGTGGACTTTTCATTAGTGAGGAGGCTTTAAATATTTGGGTCTGTGCTTTTCACTGGTACTTCTGTTTTACATCCTCGTGTGTTTGCTTCTTGGTTTTCCAACTGTAATTCTTTCCGTGATGAAAACACTTCAGTGGTTTCACTATTACTATAAATTTTTAATTATCTTTGAGAAATTGATTAGGTTGGCATATCAATAGCAAGGCTGCTGTATCTGGATGGAACATGGCAGTCCTTTGCGGAATCTTTCTCGAGGAATGCTTCATACATCGTATCAACAGTTCTCTGGGTTTACTGGTAGTTAGCAACTCCATCTTAACCTCTTTTATACACATTGTTTCACATTCGTTGAAAACTACTGGAGATTCCTGTCAATTTACATCTTGTAACAATTTACCTGCTATTAGACCTTGTTGGTCATGGAATGTTTATTGTTCTTGGCAACTATGTATTTCAGGGGAGTGTGCATTAGCGATCTGATACCCTTTTACTTAGGGAAGCTTTTCAGACGGTCTGGTATATCTGGTGATGTTTCTTCAAGGGTGAGTTCTGCATACTTCCTCATACATCTAGAAATTGAATTCATGTAGGATGTTGAAAAGGGGAGCTGGGATGCTGCGCATTAATGCATAAACTTCTCTGTAATTGCCTATTAATTGTCAATTTTTTCCTTCCGTTCATACATAATTTTATTTCTGATGATGTCAATAGTTAGGAATTGGCAAAGAGAAGGCTTTGGAGATCACAGGCGTGGTACAAAAATATGGCAACCTTGTAGGTTTTGGTAAGCTTCAAGAGTTTTTTTTATCTGCATTGCAAGGGATTTGATTTGATTTTGTAATGTGAAATCACTTATCAAATCATTGACTGTAAATAACATGATTCCTTGTTAAACTTGCCCATGTCTTTATTTCTATATATGTATATAGTTTTCTTTGTCAAAGCGCACTTAATTCTTTTATTGATTTGTTATGTTCATGTGACTTGTATTTGACAGTTGAACGATTCTCTCTTGGAGTAAGAAACCCTACAGCTTTCCTAGCAGGCGCCTTGGTTAGTGATTGAAATTGTTTGATGTGCTAGCAATTAAACCCTACAGCTTTCTCCCTGTGTGAGCCTCTCTGCATGATGTAAAGTTTGTGTCTAATAGTATCTATGTCTTGCCTTTGATGAAACTTCTAATAGAAACATAAATTGTGAGAAATGATTAACTATTTGTATCCTTGTCTTTGTTTTCATTCATCTTTATTACTTGAAGATAACCAGTTTCCATTTATAATTGATTTGATCCTTTTATTAGGATAATACTGACTGCTTTTCTTGAAGTGCAGGGTATTTCTGAAGAGTGTTTTTTTGCAGGAGTCTTGTGTGGGGGACTGTTCACACTTCCCATTCAGGTGAATATGAAGCATGCAGCATGACAATAACGATGTTTTTCTTTTAATTTTTATATATATATATATATATATATATATATATATATATACGAAAAATCCAAAATTCAGTCACTGGACTGTCCAGTGAGTGAATTTTGACTATATTCTCCTGCGAGAATATAGTGCAAAAACATTACAATGGTGTTGTGCAGGTGTTCTCCCGGGAGAACATAGGCAAAATTTTTTGTGCACTATATTCTCGCGGGAGAATATAGTGCACTGGACCTAATTTACATCAAGTCACTTGATACTCACTAAACCCATATATATATATATATATGGGGAAGATTATATTTACAAATTTTTTATTTACAAACTCTTACAAACTACACTATGTCTGACCGGTCATACTTCAATCAAGAGTGTATGACCAGTCATACTTAGTGCAATTTGTAAAAAAAGTTTGTAATCGGATCCTTCCTCTATATATATATATATATATATATATATTGCTTGCCCATTTATTTTTAATGTTTTTTAAGTGCTTTGACTTGCTGCTCATTAGTGAGAATATGGCGATCTATATTAATTTCATAATGAAAACTAAAGGATTTATAGAGAAAAGAAAAAATTGTTCGGACATTAATGCCACCTGGATGCTAAAAGTGTAGGATATGCAAAAAATGTTATTCGATCTTAATAGTTTATCCATTTTTACAATTTTGCATCGGTTTCTGAACCGCAAAAGCAAACCCTGCAAGAAGGTGAAGGAAAAAATAAAAATAAAAATAAACCTATCCTAATTCTAGTCCATTCTTTCAATTTATAGTCTTTATATGATTTAGTCATGATGGCTTAAACAATATAGTTTGTATTTCTTTTTTATTTTTACTTTCTTACATATAAGAAGAAAGCCAGTTTCTAATGTGGTAACTAACATAACTTCTCCTTTTCTTATGTGGTCAGCTTGGAATAGGATTCCTTTTGAGGGAACGCCCTATATTTGCTCTTGCAACTGTCGCAACTGTAGTGGTATTAAAAATGTGATTTTGAATAATCAAATTCTTCTTTAGTTAAACATGCAAACTTGACTTTTTCATTTGTACAGGGAATTTGGACTATTTTCCCATATGCTGTGGCTGCTTCAACTGCTTTATTCTTTTATCTCAGAGGCCGATACTTCTCTTAGTCCTTTGATTGCTTTGTAGGAATATATAGAAATATTGGTTCCTGATTTGTATATGCAGATAAGTGACCTGTTAAAGTTAATTCAACCATTTATTGAACTGCTTATTTTACCATAGGTTTTAGTGAGCTTGAACCGGTTTGTGTTATAGGTGATAATCAGTCACACTATGGCTGATTAGCCATATTTACTAGGCTAGTGGCCAGTCTGATTCTTTTGTAAATGCAGAACAATTGAGGAGTAATTCCCCTCGTGGTAGTTGAGTGTATTTTAATAAAAAAAGAAAAAGAAAAATGGCTTGTTTAACTGTTATTATGTTGTCATGGGTACGAGTCCTTGTTAGATTAGAGTAGGTTTCTTGAGAATAAAATTCCATATTGTTATGCAGTTCTGCTGAATTGGTAGCTATTTTTATTGAGGTGCCATGAATTTAATGGGCTTGTTAACATGAAACCATTGTTTATGGTAACTGCTGCCGGTAGATAGCATGTCAAATAATGACAATGTGTTCTATCAGCGTCGACCCTTGGTTATGCTAACTACATAACACATGTTGCTAAAACGGATATTATAAGATATCATTTTATTTTGCCTGTTCAGAATAAATACTCATCTATAGACTGTAGTAAATGTGAGAAGCTATGTGGAATAAAAAAATATAATAACTACTTCTCATGAAACCAACTAGTGAAGGTAGGGGTGAAGGAAATTCTTGTACTTGCAAAGAGACTGTTTCCTGGATTTGAGCCTGTGACTAAAACACCAAAAAAGCTGTATAGAAAAATTTACTAAATTGCCATTCAGAAATTGATAAGGTCTTTCCCTTTTTTCCTCTGCTGAGAGAATCATACTTGTTTGGCACTCTACAGTAGTTGATCTGTAAAACTGTAAATCAATTTTCATTTTGACTAAGTTCAAGGAATCTGAGCTGAATATTATAAGCTTCCTTTAACTCTGATAATACTTCTGCAATAGGTGGCCTCAGTGATGCATCCCTTTCCACTGACTTTACAGCAATGAAGGCTGCCTTCTTCATGCTCTCTAGATCAAAAGTTCCATGTATGCTTTCATCCACAATTTCAAATGCACCTGCCTGCAAGTAGGGCTTGGCCTGCAATTGAAAAGTTTGAAAGAGCTACCTAAATCTGTAACACCCCAAATTTCTAACAATTTATGAAACAATCTTATAATAAATAAATTGTCAAAATTCATTTTTTTTTTTTCACAATTATAATAATAGAAATATTGCGGAAGCTAATCAAAATCTAATTTGGGGAATGTTACCGCCGCACCTGTACAATGAACAGGTGCAAGGCTAAATTTATTACATTAAAATAAAACCAAAGACTAAAGTTTAAATAAAGGAAATATGTCTTATGCATTTATTTAAATCTCATAAATTTCTAAACTTAGAAACTAGCTTGAAATACTCGAGTCGTGATCCTCACTGTCCACAGCTAGCCCCATCCTTTGCAACATGCTTCACTGAAAATCTGCTCCCCCGCAGCCGCAGGATCATTGCAGTCAAACAAACACAAAAGTCAGCAAAGCTGGTAATCCTAATCAAAATACAATTAATATGAGTGATAACAAATTAAATCAAATGTCAAATAGTGTTCAAATCAATTCCACATTAATCAAATCAAATATCAATATAATAATCAAAATTCCATTATATAATATTTATCTTTATTAAGTTCATTTAATGTATTTGGTAATTATCAACTAATATATTTAGCACAACATTAGTCATAATATGATAATATTCACAACTCAATGACATTCTTCATAATCAAATCAAATAACAAATTTCATTATTAATAATGTTTAAGTTCATTATATTTAGTGGGAAGAGAACCATGGTAGACCCGGGAAACCCTGCCAGTCTACCCTGTGACCCGGGAAACCCTGCCAGTCACAAACAAATCATATTGGCCATAATCAATTCACATCTTCCTAGTGTGCACACCTCTTCCCAAAGTTGCTACTAGTATCCCGGGAAACCCTGCCAGACACCACTTTGGAAAGAACGGATATAATCTTTTTCACATCAGTTTCACATCGGAGGCATAAAGCCCAAAAGTTGTGTTCATCACCTTGGGAGGTACCATCCCAAAGCTATCTTCCCACCATTAATTTATTACAAACACACACAATCAGGAAAGATTCAATCAAATCCCATCACATCAATTATCATAGTTATTAATAATATAAATATTTAAATTCAATCATTAAAACACATATTTGGAAAGTTTTTCTTAAAGAGTAGTATAATTCCATAATTTTCATAATTATTCAATAAGATCCATATATTGCACATGAATTAAAAGTTTATATCATATATTGCTCATAATCATAATTTCTGAAATAATAAAAAAATTTCCAAAAATATTCTAATTATCATATGTAGTAATTTAAATTTAAAAAAAAACAAATACCTATATATATAGAAATGTTCATACCAAACTATTAAGAACATCTACGGATTACATATAAGGATTATGCCCAAATTTCATATAATAGAGATAACCTAAACACCTAAGGATTCAGATTACATCCAAGTTTTATATAAAAGAAATAACCTACGAATAGGATTACATATACCGAAATTCATATCAATATAATCTATGACTCTCTAGGGATAAGGATTACTATTAATAAACTTCAAACAAAATTATAACCTAAGGATTAGGATTACACATATCAAACATATAACTACCTAAAGATTAGGATTACACATAATAAAAATTTCATACACAACGAATCTACAACCACCTAGAGATTAGGATTACCTGGTCTCCGCGCTAACTTCTAGAAGAAAAGAGTAATTTGGGGTAGAGAACCGGTTGATAAAAAAAATATAAAGATTGAAAATAATTAAAATAAGCTTTTTGAAGAGAGAGAGAGAGTAGTAGAGGAGAGTGAATTGGTTTGGTTAAGCTAGGTCTCTATTTATAGTTGAAGTTTAGGGCTTATACATTACTGACTCAATGCTGACTCATCATATCTAAACAATATATGTTTGTTGACTCATTATATCTAAACAATTTATGTTTATTGACTCATCATATATGTTTGTTGACTAATACAATATATGTTTGTTGACTCATCATATCTAAACAATTTATGTTTGTTGACTCATCATATCTAAACAATTTACTAATCAATCATTACTAATCAAACATAAATACATAAATCATCAATCAATTAATCATAATTTATCATATAATATATATATATATATATATATATATATATATATATATATATTATCACATAAATCAAATAATATTACTATTATTATCTTACCTCTTATTATTTTAACTATTATTAACTCATTAATTAAAGATATTAAATACCAATATTATTAATTACAAAAATACTAAATATCATTATTATCCAAAAAATATTTATTATTATTATTATTTTATTAAAAGAAAATATAGGGTATTACATTCTACCCTTCTTAAAAGAAGTTTCGTCCTCGAAACTTAGAAGTTTGAGCTCCTCAAATTAACTTAAAGGCATAAGGTTAAAGTTAATAAAAATATGGGGGTATTACATTCTACCTTCCTTAAAAGAAGTTTTGTCCTCGAAACTTAATTAATTAATTTTTTTTTTGAAACCCCTTTAAAAAAATGTAAGCAAACATCAAAGAGTCATGCATAACCCGGCAAACAAGACAACATAGAATACAATAAATTTAAAGCACTGCAAATTAATGACTTGCTAACTTTAACCAAGCTAGAAAAAAAGTTTGGCGCTGAGTTAGTGGGGTTGGATACGTGTTCGATTCCCGCTGAATGCATTCTTGGGGAGGGGGCTGAACCTTTAGTCATCACTGTTCCCCCGCACTCCGGATTAGTCCCATAGCCGGCTCAAAGAGTCGAAGCTCGTGGGGATACCGGAGGGAGCCAACTCGTCTCAAAAAGAGATAATTAGGGTTGGGTAACTCCAAAAAAAGCTAGAAAAAAAGTTTCGAAACTGAATATCTTGTTTAAACAAATAGAAATTTTTATTACATATATTATCTTTCATTTGCTAGAAAAACTTTAATTATTTCAAGAACAACTCTAAAAGAAAGCTAATTACTTTTATTAAAATAAGAACGAGTTACAAAAGATAGCGTATATAAAAAAAAATGTTAAAGAATATTATCAATAATAATTTTAAATCACAAAATAATTCCAAACATATAATCATCGAAATTTCAAAGAAATAAATCATATTTAAAGGACAAGAAAAATAACCCTTCACTACCCATCTCTCGATTTATTTATTTACATTATGTCCTATTATTTTATTTCCTAATTTTTTTTTTATTTAACTCAGGGATCTTTGATCCCTCGAGTCAATATCAAAAGCAAACCCCAGCCGCAACCAGGGGCTCTGATACCATTTTGTAACACCCCAAATTTCTAACAATTTATGAAACAATCTTATAATAAATAAATTGTCAAAATTCATTTTTTTTTTCACAATTATAATAATAGAAATATTGCGGAAGCTAATCAAAATCTAATTTGGGGAATGTTACCGCCGCACCTGTACAATGAACAGGTGCAAGGCTAAATTTATTACATTAAAATAAAACCAAAGACTAAAGTTTAAATAAAGGAAATATGTCTTATGCATTTATTTAAATCTCATAAATTTCTAAACTTAGAAACTAGCTTGAAATACTCGAGTCGTGATCCTCACTGTCCACAGCTAGCCCCATCCTTTGCAACATGCTTCACTGAAAATCTGCTCCCCCGCAGCCGCAGGATCATTGCAGTCAAACAAACACAAAAGTCAGCAAAGCTGGTAATCCTAATCAAAATACAATTAATATGAGTAATAACAAATTAAATCAAATGTCAAATAGTGTTCAAATCAATTCCACATTAATCAAATCAAATATCAATATAATAATCAAAATTCCATTATATAATATTTATCTTTATTAAGTTCATTTAATGTATTTGGTAATTATCAACTAATATATTTAGCACAACATTAGTCATAATATGATAATATTCACAACTCAATGACATTCTTCATAATCAAATCAAATAACAAATTTCATTATTAATAATGTTTAAGTTCATTATATTTAGTGGGAAGAGAACCATGGTAGACCCGGGAAACCCTGCCAGTCTACCCTGTGACCCGGGAAACCCTGCCAGTCACAAACAAATCATA